ATTCTAACCCTAAACCGACCAGGCTCTCCGACTGTTACACGACGGAGGAGCCTCTCGCCACGTAGTCACGGTAGTGTTAAGCGAGATGGGAACTTATGGCTATTCTAACCCTAAACCGACCAGGCTCTCCGACTGTTACACGACGGAGGAGCCTCTCGCCACGTAGTCACGGTAGTGTTAAGCGAGATGGGAACTTATGGCTATTCTAACCCTAAACCGACCAGGCTCTCCGACTGTTACACGACGGAGGAGCCTCTCGCCACGTAGTCACGGTAGTGTTAAGCGAGATGGGAACTTATGGCTATTCTAACCCTAGCAATACCGTTTCTTGGAGCTATCACAGTCACAGACACAGTCACACTTATCGGTTCAAGGATAGAGAACATGGGTCCCAATATTGCAATAAAACCAATGTCATTTACATCAATATAAATATAATATTATATCAATATATAATACTAATAGGTTAGGGTTATGGTTAGGGTTAGGATTAGGGTTAGGGTTAGGCACATTGGTTTTATTGGGACCCAAGGCCATGTTCTCTATCCTTGGGCCCACTTATCCACCACAAGTTCCCTTCTCGCTTAACAGTAACACTACGTTGGCGAGAGGCTCTCCGACTGTTACACGTCGTAGGAGATGTACCCTCACCCTTACAATACATTATACATGTCACAGTCACAGATAGCCCGACCAGGCTGTGCGACGGATTGTCTATACATGGGGTATTCTAACCCTAGCAATACCGTTTCTTGGAGCTAAGTCACAGATAGCTCTAGTACTATAGCCCGCGGATCGCTGCCGCAGGCTCACAGAGTCACAGAGTGACAGACCGTACCCTGATTTGGACGTATTTCCGATGTTGTAAATCTAAAATATAAAAGCTAGCTCTTAGAGGTTTAGAGGTTTCTTCTATGTGATTTACCACCTTGACAGAGTGTATGTATTAGTATTAGTATTACGACATCAGTTGGCTGAAAGTCCGGGTACGGTGGGTCCGGGGACAATGCAGTGTACGCAGCGACATCGTATAGTACCCCGAGGTACTTTCCGATATGTCGAACCGTACCCAGGGTACCCTCCGATAGTACCCTGGGGGACATAGACCTTATGAGCACCAGGGAAACCTGACACTCACGTAATCAAAGCTGAATTTGTCACTTTTCTTTGTGTAGAAAGTGGACTATTTTTATTTAGTTAGATATCTATAGAAGCAATGTAAACTGTATACTATATACTTCAAGATTCTAGGCACTATAACTTTTGGATGTGCGGCAGTATTAAACTATGCATGGGGTACCGAGGACTGGAGAGGAGAAAAACGAAAGTAAAACCTTTCCCAGAAACTCCCCCAACATTCCTAGAGCTTGAAATATATTATTTGGCCAACTCTATGTTACATGTACATGCTGTTAATGCCACCCAATGTTTATTTTTATATACCATTTTGTTACTCACTGCTAGTAAATAAGCTGACCACCAAATTTTTGTGCAGGTCCACCAACTTTCTGAAGTTGGTGGTCCTGCTGTCCACTAGATTTTCAGCCGAAATTCGAACCCTGCGGTGCCGGGCTCGACAAAACCCGCTTGCCCGATGGCCCCCGATGGGCAATTTATCAAAGCTGAATTCGTCACTTTTCTTTGTGTAGAAAGTGGACTATTTTTATTCAGTTAGATATCTAGAAGCAATGTAAACTGTATATACTTCAATATTCTAGGCACTATAACTTTGCGGATGTGCGGCAGTATTGATCTATGCATGGGGGTACCGAGGACTGGAGAGGAGAAAAACGAAAGTAAAACCTTTCCCAGAAACTCCCCCGACATTCCTAGAGCTTGAAATATATTATTTGACCAACTCTAGCTCATAGGGTCTATGTCCCCGAGGGTACTGCCGGAACGTACCCTGGGTACGGTCCGGTATACCGGAACGTACCCTGGTAACTATTTGATATGGTTAGGGTTAGGGTTACGGTTACGGTTAGGGAGTAGGCGTAGGTGACTCCCTAGACTCGTTAGTGGAGTAGGCGAGGTACGGTCCGGCATATTAGATAGTACCAGGTTACGTTCCGGCAGTACCCTGGGGGGCATAGACCCTCTCAGCGGTAGTAGCGCCTATTTGGGAATGTGCGTTCATATTATTTTCAGTTTTTCCTCACTCTGTCCCAAGTGCCTGTGACCTAGCTTATCTGTTATACTTATAGTTCTACAATCTGAATCTATTGACGTATTGTTGTTTCAATCAGGCTTATTGCATCTTAACAATGTGTCAGGTGACTGCTAACAGGTAATATATCTACATGAGAAATATTTAAGATATTATTTTCTGTAATATTTTATCCAGTATGGAAAAAGGCTACCGTCAAGCAAATTTTGGAGGGGAACGTAAAGCGAAAGTGGATGTGTCCAATCTTCCATCGCTGTTACAAGACTGGCTGCACCGTATGAAGTATTGCCCTTGTCTTGGCTCTTCATATCCTACTGAGGAAGATCTGGCAAGGTATATGGCAGTATGATATAACATAATCACTAACGTTTTCAGTCTTGCTAATTGCTTTTCTTCTTTTCTTCTTACTATCTGAAAATATATATATATGTATCAGGAGTAGATAATAGGCCCTATTACCTACCCCTGATATGTATGCTGAATGTTATTTAGTTAATTTACAATTAGTTTATAATTTACACGTGTAATTTCAGTACATGGAGTGATATGAACAATTCCCTTGAACTGCACGTTTTTAAAATATCGAAGTGATTATTTCCCCGGCCGCCGTTTTTTCCCTGATTATTTTCGTGACTATGCCGCTGCGCAAACCATAACGTCCAAACCAGAAGTAAGGGTTAGGGTTAGGGTTGCGGCGGCGGCCCACAGGCGGAATACAGCGGCGGCGGGACACTTCGGTCTGCCGGAGAATTTAACTATGATTTTCAGCACTGCTTCTACGGCAAAGCCGGAGAAGCAGTGCTGAAAACGTACACTTGTTTCTCCAGCGCCGGAGATCTAACAAGAAAATTTGTTCTTAATTCTCCGGTGGCCGGAGAACTAACGATGGTTTTCACGGCTGCTTCTCCCAGCCTTTTAATATAGACATATAATAGCTGGAGTAGAGAAGAGGGGAAAAGGTTCCTATTATATGGTTATCTTACTTATCTACTAATAATATTGTATGTTATATAATATAATAGTGTATCATTGTATTATTTACATTGCATAACATGTTTGTGTTCTACAATAATTGCCATATATGCAGATTCACTAATTATTTATATAATGTCATTATGATTATTTTTCAGTTTGTGTAAAGGTCCAATGGTTGGAATTTGGAGTTACCTCATACAGCATGTGCATCACACAGAAACAGTAAATAATGTTAGAGGTAACCTAAAACTGTATCCTTGTGGAGCAATATGGCTCTTAGCATGTTTAATGTTATCTAAATTTATACGTAAGTGATTTACTTGAGCTCAAAAATACTAGTATATGTTACTTGCAACTTGTACTGTAAACTGGTGGGAATGAAAAAAATGCACTGAAATCATTGCAAGCTTGTATTTTTAGCTCGCCTTGACATCGTCAAGATGAGCTATTGCCATGGGTTGTCGTCCGTCAACATTTGACTACGGTCAACGATAACTCAAGAACCGTTTGACCCACATGTTTTAAATTGCATATAGTTGTTACTCCTATGGGAGAGGTTTGAACGTCCTATTTTGGAGCACGCCAGTCGACCTACATTCGAGCCTCGTCCACTTTTTGGCAAAAATGTAAATGGCTATAAATCAGTTCAGGTTCAATGGATTTTGCTCATTTCTGGTATGTGAGTGAATGAGGACTGGCCCAAAACATATCACACAGGTTTAGATTTTTTTTTTTAATTATGCAAATTAGGTAGATTTTGGCAATTTCACTATGCATTTCATTGTCTGCCTACGGTCAACGATAACTCAAGAACCGTTTGACCCACATGTTTCAAATTGAATACAGTTATTACTCATATGGGAGAGATTTTAACTTCTTATTTTGGAGCACGCCAGTCGACCTACTTTCGAGCCACGCCCACTTTTTGGCAAAAATTAAAATGGCCATCTAAATTCATTCGATTTTGTTACATTTTGGCATGTGAATGTGTAACTGTAAGGCTAGACCCAAAATGGTTGTTACTCCTATGGGAGAGATGACAACGTCCTATTTTATTCCCCCTCCCTCTTTTATCACACCCAAGGTGAGCTACAGTGTCATTGACACTTTCATTATATAAAATTACAGTACATCTATATTAATGTTACTAAAATGTTCCAATCGCTCGAATCATTTTATATACAATTACCCTTAACCAATTCCTTGGCAACAAGACAAGCACATCTATCGTCTGACCCTGCTTGTGGTAGTCACTTGATGGAAGAGCAGATAGAACTGCTGAAACACAAGTCTCGGCTTGACAGAGAGATAGCAGGGACATTGTCGGCGACTGAGCTCGTTAACAAGCATGTGAAACAACTCAACACAGAAATTACGAACACAGGTATGCAAAGGTAGAAAGAAGGAAGGTTAACAAAGCTTCTCATTAGAACTTTGGTGTCTTTGTAAAAAGTTAGAACTCAACTTCGCACTTTGACAAATATTTACAAAAAATACTAGACCAAGTTACAAAAGTAAAATTTAAAAAAAGGTAATGTTACACACTGTGACAGACCTCCTCACCCTGTTATGAGTAAAGGAATATTTGTTTAAAATGATTTCACACTCGGCATTAGAGTGATATGCTTGTTTTTTGTGTGCAGAGAAGCTTTATAAGAAGCAATGCTGTCAGATCAAGGAGAGCCGGCAGCGTACAGCTATGCTCTCGGCTCGCATATCACACTGGGAGTGTGAGAGGACGCGATTAACCGAACTAGACACACAGCTTACAGATCTAATGACCCTGGGTCAGGCTGGCAAGAGGTAGGCTAGGTCGTGGGGTATATTTTTACCTAGTAATATTATTTAAAGATGGATACACTCTTTAAACATAGCAGTCTATGTTAATTTTCTTGTGTGTCTGTGGAATGTAGGAGATGAATATGTTAAAGGATGTGAAAGTAATGTCAAGGGGTAATGAATTGACAGGTACTGCATTGCAAGGAGAGTTCTATATCAGTTATGTAAACAGAAAAGGAGCTGTTTTTTTAAGGTGAGGTGGGTTGAATGAAGTGAGGAATGATGCAGACGCAACATAATCTTGCATCTGTTCGTTGTGTTGATTTGCACTCTTTTTCTTTTCTCGTTTATTGTCAGAATGAGTTCCGGGGGTGCCAAATATTATACTAAGAAGGGGAGCATTGCAGAAGAAGAGACAGACCTGCACCTGGAGACGGCTGCAATGGTATGTTAAGCGAGTTGTAACTTGTTCATCAAGCGATGGAGCCACTAGAATATCCGCATCCAAATATGCACTCGTGAAGTTTAATGTAGTCCTCAGAGTAAATCATTTCAAAATTCTCGAAAATAAAACAATTTCTGTAGGTTCTTAAAAAGGAAAACTGTCTGCTTTGGAATTTCATGGGAAACGCGACAAATTTCAAAGGAACTTAGTTGATCTAATATGATAAAAAAGAAAATGACTTATAGTTTGATATTATTGTATCCCGACGGGGATACTATGGTTTCATGTCTCCCCAGCCGCCGTCGCTCGGTCCCCCGTAGAGAATTTCCCTTCCGCTCTATAGCTCGACCCCTAATTGACATAGCGCTACCAAACTTGGTATACTTACACATCTTGGGGAGAAGGTGAGCAGCGTACCAAAACCAGGTCACTGCGGTCTTTATTTGACCTTTACCTTGACCTTGATCATATTTCCCTTCTGCTATCTAACTCGGCCCCTAATTGACCTAGCGCTACCAAACTTGGTATACTTACACATCTTGGGGAGAAGGTGTGTCGCGTACCAAAACCAGGTCACTACGACCTTTATTTGACCTCTACCTTGACCTTGATGATATTTTCTTTCCGCTCTATAACTCGGCCCCTAATTGACCTAGCGCGACCAAACTTGGTATACTTACACATCTTGGGGAGAAGGTGTGCCGCGTACCAAAACCAGGTCACTGCAACCTTTATTTGACATTGACCTTGATCTTCATTATATTTCTTTTCCACTCTATAATTCGGCCCCTAATTGACCTAGCGCGACCACACTTTGTATACTTACACATCTTGGGGAGAACACGGGGTATACATGTAGTTGGCGACAACTGCCCTTTCTAGTTTAATTTGCAATGCAACTTACATGGGGAAAAACTATTTGCATGTTCTGATTATGGTTTGTTCACTGTTGCAGAAAGATGTGAGGGAAGCTTGTGAATTACTTCAGAACATTCTATCCAAGGACCTGCAAGCAGCTTCACTGGATAAAACAATGGAGGCGGGTCTATGGTATGATGACACCAGAGTTATCCTAACTCTTCAGAGCACATTATTCAGTCGGTGAAACAAAATAAATACCACTTGGTCAGATAATCTTGTTTCTAGGCTGTCTCTTTGGTCAATTGCTTTTTTTGGTACCGACGGCATTATTACTTGTTGTACTTGCCTTTTCGTCTTCGGCTATATTGGCAGTTATTTCTGACGTGTGTTACAGTATTCAACATTACGCACTGTCAATTCTATCTTTTTTAAATTAGTAAATTATTCAAGTTAAATATTTTGTGATTACACTACATGCGAAACCGTGAATCTATGTTACTGAGGTATACAAAAGTGTACGTAGGTTCACGAAGTAGCAAAGCAGAATTGTTTTTTATTGGCTACTCACATCTGAAATACGGGGTCAAGATGTCGTTTATAACTGACCGAATAGTTCAATGTTGTTGCAGTCTTCCACGGATGGATCCTATATTATATAAGAACCTTTTTAGGCTAACTTGGAAAATGCAGGTTATTATACATGTATGGGTGTTTAGTGTAGTTCAATGTTGTTGTAGTCTTCCACGGATGGAGCAGGTTGATGCTGCTGTAGAGAGGTTGCTTGCTGACCACAGCAGTGAGGAAGTCCTCACAGCGATGATCCAGAATTGTCGCAGCTCTGCATGTCAGCTTCAGCAGAGAATCGAACATGTCGATCCGAAGAAAGACCTGGAAGACGTGAAGTAAGCATTTGTTGTCTGCGTACGGTGGGTGCTGGGGAGGGGGCTCCTTTTCTATTGTGTCCATCCATCCCAAAATCGTATCGTCTTCACGTGTTAAGTGTATGTGTTACTGTGCCTTGTAACATGGTGCTTGATGAAAATTATAGAAAAATAGGTGCAGCGATGCAGCGCTTTTTTGATCATGAAAGATATAAGCAGGAACCTGTTAATGGTTTAGATTTTTGATTTTTTTACATGTAATTTTGATTTGAAGTATCACTTATAGTGACCTATATATTCTATAGTCCTAAAATGTTCTAGTCCTTCCTAGTTCTAAATGTTAACACTTCTTAAGAATTGCTTAAGCAATATGGGATGCATGATTAAAGTAGTTGCAGAATATAAAATAAACTTCTGCTCTATTTACAGGAAGAAGCTGGGCAATGGAAAACTGACAGAAATGCATCAGAAACCATGTATAAAACAAAGTGTTCAGGACTTACTGCAGGTCTGTGCAAAACTAACTTATAATTACCTTTCTCATGTGGTTGTGGTATAAAAAAAAGTGTAATGTCTAAAGCTCAAATATATACCGTGCTGATGTAGACACAGATGTAATTAGATGCATTTTTCTCTATCTTTTACAGTTAAGTTGTATGGAGCATATTAGAAGACACGCAGAGACAAGACAGCATGTTGCCAAAGCCTGCAGGACACAGGAGAGTTTGCAACTTATTCAGTTTTGCATCCAGGCCTTGCTGATAAAGATGTTCAAAGCTGATACCGTTGCTCTGTCTTTGGCTCAGTAAGTAAAAAAATGTCAACTTGGTTTCAGAAGTAGGACTTACTGGCACAACACGAACCATTTATGGCATAGAGTAGTATCAGTAGATCGTCAAGGCAAGTTTAAGTGCACAATTTTCTCCGGAGAAATATTGCAATATCACCTACTTGTGTGGATAATCTTTGCATGGTTCATATGAAAAGATGATCAAATCAATCCATCTTTGAGGTTTCACATTATGCAGGTTGCATCACCAACCAATGACTCTGTGTAAAAAAAAAAAAAATTTGTGACATTTTCATATGTGTTTAGAAGTCTGAGTATAGCACTTTAACATTTTAAGTATAGTCCTTGCTATAGGATGCCTATTATAAATATAGAAGAAAGCTTGAATTAACGAAAATCTGAGCTGTAAATCCTCTTTTTACACGTATATCAAATAAGGAACTAACAATATTGGAACGGAAATGCTTGACCGACGTGAGATTTATTTCTCTCTGCTTTCCCAGGAAGGTGATCAGTACACAGTTGAGTAACGCTGCAGATGTAGCGTGCCTGCAATACCTGCAGCAAGAAGCCAAGCATTACCAAGAGACAGCCGAGAAGGCAAATCAGCACAACAACGAATTGAAGCAAAAGTATGAAGCTATACAGGGCTTCAAGGCTATCGTGGTAAGCTCAAGGTGACAAGTATTGAAGCAGTGTTTTGCTACTGCAGGCCGCTCATAAGTATGTCACACTGCAAATGCACAGTGTGTACTTGGAATGAGTAATGAGAGAGTGATGTAGTAGTGAATTGCTTGCAGAATTGTTTAGCATAAAATTATATGGTGTACAGCTTATATGCCTAGCTACTTTTGATTATGTGAGAATGTTAATGGTTTTCGAAAAGCAAGTCATAGTAAAATGAAACAGATTCATATGCGTAATGCATTATGATTGCAACTGTTCTGTTAGCACCTCTATATTGGATCCTTTATTATAATATGACTGCACTAATATGATAATATTATATAGTCTCAATGCCTAAGGCCTGACTTGATCTGCATTTAAATTTCACAAAGCCAACAATATATGTGCATTTGTTTTTCTTCTGCTACATTATGAAATTGCTTGCATGCAAAACAAGTTGATTGCAAGCATAAATCTGCATATTTTAGTATATTTTATATAGCATTTTGTAGGAGACTGTGTGGATACTTAATCAAAAAAAGTATGAAAATATGAATATTTAGCTTTTTGCAGGGGAGTCTGTATGGATGGATGAATGGATGGCTCATCGCGTTATTGCGAACACATGTGAGTCTTACAGTATCTGTCGTCATGTTCATGTTCTGATTCAGGAGAAGAAGCAGCGGCTTATCAACGCGCTCCTGCACAGGAATGGCAGCATGAAGCCACGGCTAGAGGCCCTGAGGAGCGAAAACCTGAGCTTCGTGAGGACGAACCTCCGTGTCGCCATGGCAACCGTCTCCGAGCACGCCTTGCAGCTGCAGAAGTCGCTGTACGCCGAGACAGACCTGTTTGGTGTGCTGCGATTACCGTTGCTAATGACGACCACGATCGACAGGTGCGCGAGTTAATTGTTGTGGGACTAAAGCGTTGTAGAAAGATGACAGGATTTCTTTGGAACTTTTTGTGGGGCAGAGATGGAGATTTGAAAAGTTTGTCACAAGTAAAATTTTATGATTCATTAAATGTAAGTAAACTTGGATTCATATTATGAGTGTTGGCATGGTACATGTAGTATTGTCAATTTTTTTTCCAGTGGTGTACAACTTAAAACCATTGAATTATCGATTAATCGCTTTGAGTATCCATCGTTGCAAGTTGGCGGGCCATTGCTGGAGTCCTTGCTATTAGCCATAGATTTTCCACCCTATAAGGTATTTATACTTTTTATTTTAAACCAAACCTCTGTAGCATAGATACATATATATTTTGGTTTTCTTACTCTAGTGTTACATTAATTAGTTAGAGACGTGGAGTGCGGCTAGACTCAGGGTTGCATGTTTTAGTGGTAGTCTATGTAGACAGAGCGTCGCGCATCTTGTTGCGGCTACATTGATGTTATAGGGAGAATTGTGAACGTGTTTTAGGTCGGGCGTTTCTAGGGTCATTGTGAAATGGTGGTAGGACGCGGTCTGGGAGAACGGGTGACATGTGCGCTCAGGATGTAGGGGTTTTTGGGGTAATATAGAGAAGAGAGGTTAGGAGAGATTGAGGGAGATAATGTAACATATGATTTACAAATGTTGCATGAATTAATCAGCGGAGCTAGACTAGGGGTTGTTTTAGTAATAGTCTACACAAGTTTGGATTCCTTCTATATCATTTATTCAACAAACGTAATTCAACGTTACACTAGTAATATGTAGAATGTTAGCTGTTTAGCTGGCGTAACTGCTGGAATGCTGCTATTATGGTAAAGTATTTCGACATTGCCAACAGGTGGCAGCGCAAGCATGTTAATTAGAATGCCTTTGTTTGAGTGACTTCCTTCGTATAAAGGTACTCTAATGTTAATACAAAAAAGTATCCCTAATCAAAATCATTTGTTAACTATGTAAGTGAATATTTATTAAAATAGTAACAGATAGCTGTGTGTAGGGGAATGATAAACATGCACCCATAGAAGGCATTTTTCATATATGCTAGATTATTTGTATGTCAGACAGTGAGAATTGAATTACTATATATATAGAATTATATTTATCGATATTATTTGTTTTCAATTAAGGCGCCTGAGTCTCTGCTGCCATTCATTGTGAGAAGGAAACACCAACTAGCAGAGGCACAGTTCTTATGTGATGCTCGGGCATATACTGAGAATCGAATTCTGGAACTGCATGGCGGAAAGACATTTACAGACGATTCAGTTGAAGGTGACCGCAAGCTCTCTTTAGTAGTCACTGTCTGCCTCCCTCGCCTTCCTCCACTTCCCCTTCTCTCCTCCTTCCTTTCTCCCTGTTTCATTTTTTCTCCTTTCCCCTTCCTCTCTCTCTCTCTCTCTCTCTCTCTCATTCACTCACCCTCTTTCGCTCTCTCTCTCTCGCTCTCTCTCTCTCGCTCTTTTTTTTTCTCTCTCTCTCTCTCTCTCTCTCTGTCACTTTTCGATTGTTCATTTACTCACGGATGCATGGCAGTATTTTATACGTCTCTTGCAGAGGTGATCAGCAGAGTGAGTTGCTATGACGACGGGCAGCTGCAGACAACGCTGCCAGCGATCCAGGACACCCTGCTAAGGGTTGCAAGAGCCCTTGCCTCGTGTCAGACCCTGTCCACGCTGGTCGACGAATGGTAGGCATGACGACCTGCGAATTTCACTACAGATTTTTTCTTCGAATCACATAAAATGTCTTGAGCCGAATTGCGATTGTTTAATTTCATGTGCATCTCTGTCATCTCTTGGGGTCATCTTAGGAGTAAATTGTAAACAGCTTACTCATGCATTTTCGTCCTAATCTTTGTGCAGGTTAGCTACCGAATAGCCACATTAATAAAAAGAACACGTGTAAAACTGTTTCAAGATGACGTTATCTTTAATTCATAATGTACGGATGTGTCTGCCTGAGAAATAAACCTCCGGTGGTGTGGAGGGACGAATGTTAGCTAAATAGGGTCACCATCATGCTAGCCAGATTGTGCGTTATAAGTAATATTAAGACGAAATTGTTGAAGACAGTGCAGATTAATTAGGCTTAAATGCAAATGAAAGACCAATAGCCATAGAAGTTGGCAGCAAACTGGAGCTGATAGAGATAGGTCATTCCACGTTGTTTCCCCTTATGTTATGATGCCTGCGGTTCTAAGTTGGTTGTCATTTGTATTTAGGAAACAGCAGCCTGCGCAGTATGTCGTGCCGTGGGTGACAGTTGATGGTAGAAATCTTCAGCAGTGGAAGGACACGTGGTCAGTACAGGCATCAAGGCACGTGTCATAGAGGATTCCACCTTAGGTGCACACAGGAGAAATACCTGGGAGAGGTCTTTTGCACTCAAATGCGGTCGAAATGAGGAATATTTCTGTAAATTCCATGTATTTCTAGTATCCAGTAAGTTCTTAGTTTCATAGCTAATTATTCATCTTGTAGCAAACTGGTTAACGATTTTTTATGATTTATAATGTGCCTAATATAAGACAATTCTCTGCTGATTAAGCTATAGTTGAGTAAGTAATGTGTAGGAGTGCATATTAGTTCTATTGGAGGAACAATAAAAGTTCAAACCAGGACACTACACGTTGATATATGTGTGATGGTGGTTACATGCAGGTATATGTTAAGAGTAAGGTATATAGCTCATGCACATACAAAGTTAAATATTGTGTAATGAGTTTTTCTTGTGTTTTTCTACAAAATCATGACTAGCTTAATTGTTGTTAAATACTTTATTGGATGAAAAGAAGTTTGTTGCCACAAAAACTCTGGTGTTCATTGTCTCATTCTGGTTTCGTTACAGTGCATAGCACGTGAAGAAATTCACAGGGTACTATACATTTTGGAAAGTTCCGATTTTTAAAGGTTAAAAATAATAACCCAACGTGTGTGAGTACGCAAAAATATGCGTGTGGCAACAAGTTGATAACTTGATGCTCTTTAAAATCGTTGATTATTAGCAACTTTCTTGGTAGAACAGCCTTGCAAAAATCATTGAAGTCATGTAACGGGCATTTATATGGTTTTATCTGCAGCTGTCATCGTGGTTCCTACGAAGCAGGCTCAAGCTGACTGGTGCACATTCCATTTACAAACCCCTGTAATATCTTGCACACACGCGCACATGCCCAAAAAAACAGAATCTTCACCATCTGTGCTTGTCGCGGGCATAGTGCGAAATTCTGCTAGTGGGTGGCAGGCGAAACATGGGCGCATTCCTGCAAAATAAGAACCTGTAGAATACGTGTATAACGGTAAACTTGCCCCGCTCTGTTTCGATAAAATTTTCCAGCGGCAGTAGAGAAATACGTCCAGCTGTACGATGTCGGATTTCGATGCTTAGATATTGAAGTTGACACAGCAGCATTGAAGTTGGGGCAGTTTGACACCCCTCGACCCCCGCAGAGAATTTCCTTTCTTCATCCCACTCTACAGCGTATGCGTGCCATGGGCCAGCCGCTTGCTCCCCAGGGGAAACAATGGAATGCAAAACCACAGTGCAGTTTATTCTGGGCATGCTGAGGGATGCTGGAACTATATCATGGCAGAAGAGTGGGTGTAATTAAAGGATGAAGGCACGAACGTCCTGTTACCGGGCCAAGCTATGAGATGTATATATATATATATATGTATCAGGAGTAGATAATAG